AGGTCCCAGTTCCTTACCTGCACAAGAGTTCCAACTCTTAGTGACTCTACAGACCAGGGTAGAACGGCCTCCACGGGTTTCTGAGGCTCAAATCTGTATGAAAGTAGAAAGCCTCATCTGTCTTCCAGGGAACAGCAGATTGTTTTGAACTGTTGACCTTGCAATTGCAGCCAAACACATAACGCACTAAGCAGGGCTCTGTATATGTGGAGACTGAAACACTGGATTCAGGGCTGTAAATTGTAGGCTTCCACAAACCCAGTGTTCATAATTTACGTTCTAAAACGGGGCAGCGGCAGAGCCAGGGAGAGGGAGAGGGAGAGGAAGAAACTCAATGGAGACTAGGAGAATGGATTGAGAACTGGCTAAATGACTTCGCAACCAGGCTCTATGTCTCTCAAAGAGACTTCCCAAATTTCAGCACGACGTGTGGAGACCTGTTTATGAAGTAGTCAATGGGACAAAAACAGGTGAGCCATCTGGCTGAGGGACAGTTGGCACCAGCCCACAATGGGGTCCAGGATCCAGTTGCTCGGGCGCAGGAAACCATTAGAAGATCTTGTTGGAAGCAGGTGGAAGTATCACCGTCACCGGCAGGACTACAGAAGGAAGGACTGAGATTTGGAAGCGCTTCACTGTTGCAGATTAGGAAAGCTTACATAATTGGGTCAGGGCCCTCCGACTCCCCTGAATGGAGGAGTATGACTCTTAGTGCCTCAGTTCCCATCAGGGACACACCTGAGCACATTCCTGAGGGCGAGCCTACTCCTGCGTGGCCGGCCACGTGCGTCACAGCAAACTCCCTGCAGCTGAGAGCAAAGTGTTTTTACATTGCTCGCTAGAATAAATTCCGTGGCCTTGAGAGGTCAATAGTCAGAACTCCAGGGAACCGGAACCTAGCAGAGACGCTGATGGATTTCCGGTTCCTCAGCCCTTGCCTGCGTCCCTCCACCAACCGAGTGCTCAGAACATCGGGTCTCAGACGCCGCAGCACCGGGACCCTGTGGAAGTGGGAGTCTCCACACCAGGCTTTGAGTCCGGGGAGGTGAGAGGGTCCTCACTATGTGGGTGATGTGGGCGGACTGTCACAGGGAAGCCACTTCACAAGACAGGACTGAGGGAAAGTGAGAATATTTATGAAGGAATCACAGAACTCTTGCTGCCACTGAGTTGATTCTAACTCACAGCGACCCTACAGGACAGGGTAGAGCTGCCCCTGTGGGTTTCTGAAATGGTGACTAGAGAGCCCCATCTTTCTTGGGAAGAGCGGCTGGTGGTTTCAAACTGCTGACCTTGCAGTGCGTGGCCCCAGGCATAACCTCTGCACCACCAGGGCTCCCAGTGCCTAGGAAGACCAACCTGACTGTGTCCACCTGCTTCCTCCAGCTACGAGGGAAACTAAACCCACAGCTAACGAACAGATCCTAAGTCACAGTGACCCTCCAGGACCCAGCAGAACTGGCCCTGGGGGTTTGCAAGCCTATACTGCTTGACAGGAGCAGACAGCCTCATCTTTCTCCCAAGGAGCAGCTGGTGGGTTCGTACCTCCCACTTTGTGGTCAGCTGCTCAACATGAGACCCACTGTGACACCAAGGCTCCTTGAACGATGACTTTGGAGCCTGTGGCAGTCAGGGCATTGGGGGCAGGGGTCTGCAGGAGCAATCTGGCCCCTGAGAGAAGCCTTCTGGTTCTCAGACTGTCCTTCGGGCTTAGAGGCGAGCTTCCCCTCCGACTGTGGTTCTTGTCAGCCGAGTTCTGCCCTGCAGGTGGAGATAGGTGAAGGTTGATTTCTAATTGGAAACAGCAGACTTGTGTCTGTTTATCAGGAGGACTAATAGGACAGCAGGAGGAGAGCAAAGGATGGGGAGCTGCAGCCAAGTGCTGTGGTGCAGCGCAGCCTCATGCCGGCTCCAGAGACCTAGGCAAGGCACGTGGTCTCTGTGGACATGAATTCCTCATTTCCAACAGACACAACAGCCGACCACGTTACGTGACTGCCAGAGGGGAGGGTGACTGTGCTTTGGCTTCCCCTGGTGGTTCTCATGGCAAACAAACACCAAAACACATGGCTGTTTCTTAGGGGGGCTCGTTATCTCCCATGGTTCTACTTTTCCTAACTCCCCTTTCTCGCTGTGCCAAGAGGCTTCAGTGGGGATCCACTCATCTTCTTACAGGTGTCATGTTGGCACACACAAAAAACTAGGTATTAAAAAAGCTATTAGAGGAAGCAAGGTATCCTCAGGGTTTTGATGAGACTTCTTATCAATATAAAGCTTCAAAGTCAGAAAAGTCTTCCTGATATTCCACAAATGGTGAAACCCAGATAAAAAGACAGACCCTTGTTTATAGGGAACTCCAAGCAAGATCGGCTGAAGCAGGAATTTCTAGTTTTCCTCTTCAGCACACTTAATTGCTATAACCACGCCCCTCAGTAGTACAACATAGTAGGAATCAGTGAGGGTGTGGGCATGCCTGTGTTCTCTAGGAGACACACAGAGAAGGCAGGTAAGGAGGAGTGGCATGGCTGGAAAATGCTGATGGCCAGGATCCTTAGTGACCTCCCTTGTATGTCTCTCTCCCATAAACCCTAAAAAAAAGAGATCATTTGCATTCTTGCCATGAATCTTGTCTTTACAACAATGAAATGCAAATGATCTAAAAGTAGTACATGGCTGTATAGGATTTCTGTGCATATTTTGGGCCAATTTGTATTAAACTACTTATATTATTAGAGACATGTAGGAGAAATTTTATAGTAAAGCACTGTTATTGATAACATTTATATGCTTTCCAGTTTATCAATTCACTTTTAACACTTATGGCTTTAGTCTCTCTCTTCAAAAATTCAGCTATAATTTGCATTTGCCATTTATTTTGAATGTCATATATAGAAATTTCATTTATATCTCATGTATAGAAATGCATTCTTATTTTATCCTAGGTTTAAATATTTTATCAGAATGGCATTTTCTCATGTGGGAAATATGGGCTCCATATAGAATTTTTGTTGCACTTATTCAAGTGACCAAAACAAAAGCATGTATGGCTTAGCATCATTGTTGTCATTAGGTGTCAGATCTGACCTATAGCGACCTTATGCAAAACAGAAGGAAACACTGCACCGTCCTGTGGCATCCTCACAATGGCTTCTCTCTGTGGCATCCTCACAATGGCGCCCGTTGATGCAGCCACTGGTCACTCCATCTCATCGAGGGCTTTCCTCTTTGTTGCTGCCCCTTCACTTTACAAAGCATGATGTCCTCTGCCAGGGACTGGTCTCTCCTGACATGTAAAAAATATGTGAGGCAACATCTTGCCATCCTTGCCTCTAAGATGCACTCTGGGTGTACTTTTCCCAAGACAGGTTTATCCTTTTTGCTGTCCACGGTACGTGCAAGCGTCTTTTCAAACACCAACATTCAAATGCTTCTGTTCTTCTATTTCCTATCCAATGTGCAGCTCTCATATGCATATGAGGCAAGTGAAATTATCATGGTTTGGTCCTCAAAGTAACCTTAGTCCTCACAGTAACGTCCTTGTTCCCAGTACTCACAGATATCTTGTGCAACAGACTCACCTCATGGAACTCGTCTTTTGATCTCTGGAATGCCACTTCCATGATCACTGATTGTGGATTCAAGCAGGACAAAAACCTTTGCTGACTCTAACCATTTCTTCGTTTATCACGATGTTAACTATTAGTCCAGTTGTGAGGATTTTGCTCTTCTTCACACTGAGCTCTGCAATCCTTGATCAGCACCAGCAAATGCTTCAAGCCCTCCTCACTCTCAGCAAGTAAGGTTGGGTCGTTTGCATATTGCAGGTTGTTAATAAGCCTTCATCCATTCCTGATGCCACATTTTTCTTCACATAACCCAGCTTCTCTGGCGATTTGCTCAGAATACAGATTGGACAAGTGTAATGAGAGTACTCAACCCTGACACACAGCTTTCTTGATTTCAAACCATGCCATATGCCACATTGTTCTCTTCACCCAACTACTTCTTGATCCATGTACAAGTTCCTCATGAGCACAAGGAAGGGTTCTCGAATGCCCATTATTTGCAAGGTTATACGTAATTTATTAAGAACACCTAGCTTTTCTTTCTTTTTTTTTCTTTTTTTAACATTTTATTAGGGGCTCATACAACTGTTATCCCAATCCATACACATATCAATTAACACCTAGCTTTTCATAACATTTTCAAATTGCAGAGAGTCCATCTGCTATTGAATTTTTGTATTACTTCTTTCATGAATCGTACTTTTATGGTTGTATCTGAAATCTCACATTCATACATACAATCAAACATTTATATAATGACCACCATTTTCCTCTAGAGTACTTATGACTTTGAATTTTGTTTCAACATCTAATCATTTTTTTGGTATTTTTTTCCTAATAGGAATAAAGTCTGGGTGAAGTTTCTTTGTTTTATGCTTTTTTGTACTATTTGGTTGTAAAGTTATGCTTCATGAAATGATTTTTTTTCAGCAGTAAAAAAAATTCCCTTAGAGCTGACTTAGAATTTGAACTTCTAGTCTTCATATATTCAACAAAATATACTCCTATTCTTAAATACTTTTTACTTGTGATATCAATTTGCAGTATTTTTCAAAAACTTAGATGGCAGTTATGTCAAAGTTCATTTTATGAGACAGAGTCACGGTTCTCTAATTAAATGTCAACATAAAAACAGAATTTTTTTACCTTCATTATAACACTAGCACATTAGAAAGTCATTCATTTTTAGCCTGAAACAGCTGAAATATTGTTAATCGACGCCACCCTGCGCAGTGCGTAAACATACAATCCATCTGTTGAGAACTGGAAGCCAGTGGGACTGCCTTCCCACCCCACACCCTCAGTCCCCTGGACTCACACATTTTCAACTATTGACAGGGAATAAGCTGACCACTTTGTCACCACTTATTTTGTGGAATATATTCTTATTTTAGTTTTGTCTCAGGTTTTCACCTTCCACAGGAACCAACTTTTAGGGGTTTTATGGTATACATTTCCTTTGTTTGAATTTAAGAGACAATAATACAATCCCCGAGGAGAGGATGTTGGGTTAGAATTACTGATCTTGCAGTTAAAAGCCCAATCAGTACTTAGCTTTCTACATCACCACGCCTCTTTATATTTCTGTTCTATGGGGCTGATTTCACAGGTTATTAAAATGTTATTCTCATGTAAACTGCAGGTTTATTTATATACTTAATATCATATTTTCTATATTTTCAATTAAGTTGAAACTAAGAGAAATCTCTGCAGTTCACATGACAGAATTTTGTTAGAACAACCACTTCCATGCAAATACCTTTCACAGGAGCAGTCCAAGCCTGTCTGGGAAAGTCATTTTCCGTTGCCATCAATTCGATGGCAGTGAGCGCTTCTTTGTTACAATTTAGGAGACGCTAATACACTTCCTATGAGTGTAAACAGTGATCCTCCAGGATCTCTGAGAGCAGTGGGAACAAAAGCAGCTGAAGGCAAAGCAGAAAGCTGCAACTGTGCTCAGCCCTGCACCTGCTCCTGCTCCTGGGCCTGTGCTGTGAGTCCTGAGCGCCCCAGGCTGTCCTGCAGGATAGTTTATGTGAGGGCCACCCTGACTTCCCTGTCTGTGTCCACTGATTGTTTTATTTAGTTCAGATCAGAGTAGATCAGAGAAATGTTTAGGGACAGATTATGAAGCTGATGAAGGTGAAATATTCCCCATGTTGGATTTTTAACTTCTCTTCTGAACAGAGCTACACTGTCAGAGAAACGGTAACACGGGCCAGGTTGACCATGAGTATTCAGAGAGTGACACGCTCATCTTTGTCTGTAATCTGCACAGGCTTGTCTGACACTCCGAGTAAAGCTGACATTCCCTGAGATGTGTTTCCTCTCCTCAGGCAGCAGGAAGCACAGGGCAGACCTGGGCGTTAGGGGGCATTTGAGAGTCTATTGAGAAGGGGCCATTCGGGAGATCAGAGTCTTCAAAGTCTTCACTAAGGAGACAGAGGTACTTTCTATCCTGGACATAATTCTCCACAGACAGTAAGGAGGGACCGTCTGTGAGGGCCCAGACTCCTCGGGCTGCAGCCTCACACTGGGTTTTAAACCACTCTCCCCCAAGTGTGGGCTGAGAGATGCACTGAGTAGAGAGCCACAGTTCAAAACTCTCTGTGGGAGGGGGTGGGGGTGGTGTGTGTGTGTTTTTCAGGATGTGACTAGGATCAGGTTCTGTCCCTCCCAGCTGTGTGTGTGTGTGTGTGTGTGTGTGTGTGTGTGTGTTTTGCAGGATGTGACTAGGAGCATGTTCTGTCCCTCCCAGCAGTCCCAAGACCTGTACCTCCCCCTGCCCTGGGTTTCCAGGGTTATAAGACTGCAAGAGTCTGACATGGAGGGCAGGGCAGAAATATGCCAAGTGGGAGACATCCATTTTAGACCCACAGGCTACCTCCACAGGGGAATCTATCTCATCACCCAGGTGTGATTCCTTTCCATCCTCCTTACAAGATGGGCTCTGCCAGCCTAGCTCTCCTCATTGGTCTTCTCCCAGGTCAGGATCACCACAGGGTTTGAGATGAATGGAGTGTGTGTGTGTTCTCTGATCTCTGATCTCTGAATCCTATCTCCATAGGCGTCTGTGCTCAGGTGCAGCTGGTGCAGTCTGGGGCAGAGGTAAAGAGACCTGGGGAGTCTTTAAGGATCTCCTGTAAGACATCTTGGTTCAGCTTTACTGGAAGCTGGATTGACTGGATTAGGCAGACACCTGCAAAGGGCTTGGAATGGATAGGAATGATTCGTCCTAGTGATGTTGATACCAGGTACAACCCATCCTTCCAAGGAAAAGACACCATCTCCACAGACAACTCCATCAGCACCATGCACCTGCAGTGGAGCAGCCTGAAGGGCTCAGACATGGCCACGTATTACTGTGCAGGAGACACAGTGAGAGAACCCCCTTCCTGAGAGGGGCAGAAACCCTCAGCCTGATGCAGCTGCAGAGCAGGAGTCTCAGGGGCACCTCTCAGTCCAGCAGCAGAGGACACAGTGTCTGCTGTCTCCTAGAGCGTGAGAACAAGAACACAGGCCACTGACACGACAGGGAGAGATTTCCCCATGCCGTCCCCGGATGCCTCTGACTGGGTTGGGTTCTCTGGAGTAGCCCACTCTGACTTCTGAATAACCGCCGGGCTATAGAGCAGATGAGGTCAGGTTTCTTCATGAAATTCTCGGAGTTTAGCCCTTGCTGCCCTTGAAGAATGAGCAGGTGCATTGTCGTAATAGGAAAACAAATCCTCAGCTCAAATTTCCTGGCCTTTTTCTCACACACACAAAAAACATTCCCAATATTTTTAGGACTTTTTCCTTAAAAGTAGCCATGATTATCGCTTCTTTGCCTTTTGGCTAAGATCTGGTGTAGGCTGCTAATCTTTAGCTAAGCTGTGCTGACTGGGGCTTCCAAGAAGACAGAGCCTTGTGTCAAGCCCTGGACATAGGTTGACTTCCCAGTGCAGGTGTTGATCCAGCCCATCCATGGAAGGCCTTTTCCGGGTGCTTGTCAAACCCAATTCATACTGTAGCTGGTGAAGATGTATGTAGAAGTCCTACAGGCCACCTTCACCAATCTCCCCGCTTCTTCACTTAGACCCCAGGCTGCACTAACTGCATCTGGGCATGCACACCTGTGAGGAAGTAAACCAGAAGGTGAGGGCTCTGGAGCTGCCACAGTCTTCTCTCCAGCACCATGTGCTATCTTACCCAGGGCGATTCCCAACAGGAAACTGAAGCTCCACAGTCACCCCTTGGTGAATGCTCTTTCCTTTTAGTGGTCTTGGTGCAACCTATGTGGCAATGTCCTTGCTTAATGTTGTATCACGGGAGATGGCTTCACTTTCCAACTTTATAAGGCACTTATGTGTATATCTATATCACATTCAAGAATGTATTTCTGGTCTGCATCAGGGATAAATAATAGGAAGCCTAGATAGTTTTAGAGACTCACACATAGAGATGACTGAGCTGCTCATCTCAAGTGTATTCTGGAGACCTTTCGGCTAACGGGTGTGTCTCACCAAGTGAGCTGACGGCTGGTCATGACTGCTACCGATGTACCCACTTCCACACGACTCTTAAAATCACACTGATTTCATAGTGAGATGTCACAAAATCAGCTTCTCAAGCATTAACGTTGTCCATTCAAGGGGGTTATGTTAGGCCGGATTGACTAGAGAAACAAATCCAGATCGTTTAAGAGAGAGCTTTATATCAAAGAGTAATTGTATATTGAGAAAACAGCCCAGCCCAGTGCAGATCAAGTCCATAAACACGATATGAGCTCATATGTTGGATCCTAGTCCATAACCTTCTCTTCATACTCATGCAGCGCATGCAGTGATGCCGAATGCAGAAAGAACACAGACCAGTGGGTGGGAAGTCTGTGGATCCAGTGGTGGTGGAAGCATCTCAGCGATAGTGCCGGTCTCCATGTGGATCCTCCAGCTCTCTGAGTGTGCCTACTCAACAGGAAGGTAAAGCAGAGAGAGAGAGGAAGTTCCCAGAATCCTCATGAGGCCACGCCCATAAGAAAGCATCTTCAGTGTGATCTGATTGGCAGGCTAGACTCCCATCCTATACTTATTTATGAAGTTAACATGAAATTATGTAACTACCACCGGGGCCATTTCTCTTGTCTGTGACGGGGTGTAGTGATTTCTCAGTAGTCCACTAGGAGGAAGTGGGGAGGAAGTCTTACTCATTTTACTGTATCCTCCTCATTCTTACTCTTTATATAATAGTGTTGTTTTTTTTTTATAAATAGCCAGCTATATCTTCCATGAACTTATATTCTCTAACTTGTTTAAAAGAATTTAAACAGAAATATCATTTTAACAGATTTAAGTTTTGCACATTTCCTCTCCTCATATAAAAACCAGCCCTCATAAAACAATGGAAGAAAAATGGAAAGGCAGCCAAATGAATAATATGAAAGTGATTAAACTCTTAAAAAACCAAAGCTGTATTAGTCTGGGTACTTTAGAGAAACAAATCCATAGAAACTCATGTATAAGAGAGAGTTTTATATAAAGCATAAGTGTGCATCAAGAAAACATCCCAACCCAGTGCTGCCCAAGCCCACAAGTCCAGTATTAAGCCATTAACCCATATGTCCAACACCAATCCACAAAGTCGTCCTCCATCTCACAAAACAGAGGCAATGATGCCGACTGCAAGAGGAAAGCCGAGTCAGTGTGAGCATCTCAGCACTGACAGGGGTCTCCACGCTGCTCCAGCACCCAGGGCTGCATCGGGGGAAGGTCCATGTGGCTTCTCCTTGGAGATGTCTTGCAGGAGGTCAGCCTTGCCAGCTGAAGCAGGGAACTGCAAACTGCTAAGGCAGTTGCACCCTGATGCGCCCATCACAAAGCGAGAAGACCCAAGAACTAGAAAGGTGAGGTTCACTGAGCCATTTATCCCTCTGCCTTTCAGTTAACCCCACATGTGTTTATTGGCCAGGTTGGCACAATAAACTACCTCAAAAGCTAAGCAATATAATCTCTAAAATAAAAGAAATATCTTTATCACATAAGTCTGATATTATTATACAACTGAATTCAATTAGCTTGCAAGATATATTTAAGACACATTAAAGATACATTAACAAGACTAATCAAAGTTGTAAATTTTAATTAAAAAATAGTATCAGTGCTGTGAGAGCCCATAGATCAGAATATATCACTACAAAACTGGAAAAACTTCAAGAGTATAGTACACATTTTCAGAAAAATACTTCTTTGGTTGTAAAACAATCTAAGAGCTTAGGGCTCGTGACAACCCACTAACCGTTGGATATTCTTCATTTAAAGTTCAGGGCACTGGTTTTCCAGGTTTCAGCTAGAAGAACCTGGAAACAAAGCAGAAGGGGTGATAAAACGTCATCAGATTTTCTTGATGTTGGGCCACGAGGCACCCCTTGCACTCATCCCCCTATAACATCTACTCACCTGGAGATTACACAACCGTGTGCCTATGTGCCCATGTTGGGTCCTGTCTGGACCCTTGAAACTCCATTTCCATTTTGGACCCCTCTGCTGTCTCTCTTGGCCTGTCTCATCCTCCCCTGAGTCAGGCATGAGCTCCTTATTCTGCAGTGTGAATCATGGGTGCACTGAGGCTGGGAGTCCCTGCATGTGCGCATCAGAGAACTGACATGGGTTGACATATCAAAATGCCACCCAAAATCTAGGGAGAAGTACCTTCAGAGAGGCACAGCAGTAATCTGCTTACCAGGAGCAGAAACCACTGAAACCATGTATTTAAAAAATATATATGTAAATTCAAATGTGATAAATTCCTAGAGGCTGAGTATTGATTACTGTGACTGAGAAACCATTGGGGCCAGCCATTAGTGGAGCCCCATGTTCTATGGGCTTTAACTGTAAAACCCCTCCAGGTTCTCAAGTGAACATTCAAAACAAGTCCTCGTGTTTCTGACACTGAATAGGAAAATCATTCTCAAGTTGAAAAATTTCTCACCAGAGGAAGGTCATTTTTATTAACTTTTCATATCTGGAAGTGAAATATTTCCTCTATCAACCACACATCCCCCACCCTACCCATGACACCGAAGTCAGGGAAGGGGGAGAGGCGTAGTCAACAGGGATAAAGAGTTAAAAGGTAAAGAGCGTGGACACTGCCGTGAAGGAAAGGAACAGAGGCCAGTAGACACACTCTTCGTGTGATACATTCCTGTTGACAAGGCACATGGATCTGAACTACGGCACAGGCATGAAGGTCAGAGCCCCACTACCCAGCTCCTATAACAGATCCAGGCTCAATCAGAAGATCTCACGGAGCATTCCCTGTTCTCTCACTTCATCAGCATCCAGATTCCAGGCATCACAATTTTAGATTCCAATTTGGATAGGGAAGAATCTGCTCTTCCTGGGGTGAGGGGGAGATATAGCAAACATTAATATTATCAAACTCTTGCCAGATTAACATAAATCCTCACAACACTTAGTTCTGAGAACAAGGTGATAAATATTTCTACCTCACAGAAATAGCAAATAAGATCAAATTTTCATTTATCTTGATACATCAATTTCATTTGATCATCACCTTTCTGTGCAGTTCGTATTTAGTCTGTGTAGCATTGTGACACTTCAAATTTAACTCATTAGCCTTACTGAAGGTTTTCATATTTCATTTTATATTGAAAACTGAATTAAGTATCTTTTCAGGCACACAACCAAACAACATTCTTTAACAAATTGCTGTAGTTTGTCTGACAGAAGTGTGCAGGACACATGGTTCTGGAAATGGAGTGCTGTATGAAACAGTTCTTCTTCATGGAAAAGGAGACCATGGGACAAAATTATCTGCAGAGCACATTGAAATCTGCAAACAAAGAGTGAGAAGACTAAAGACACGATCACATTCTAATATAGAGTAAGTCAGGTAGCAGTGAATAAAGCAAACATAAATAGCAATTAATTAATTTCAAAAACATGATGAAACTTATGCCTGAGGCCAGATGCCTCAGTAAAATGTGTAAAGTTTTAAAGACAAAATGAGAATTATTTATGGTACATAAGTAGTATAATAAAGAGAAAATTTTCATTACCCAAAACAGTTGACTATGACTAGAATTCAGAATACTTAGCACCAGGTGATATTATTTAGGGAGAATCCAGTCTGCATCAAACTTGTGGTAGTTACATAATCTGGTGTCATCCTGAACCTATTAAGAGTGAAGGGGTGGGGTTTAACCTGTCAATCAGGTCACAGCTTGATGACCTCATTTGGAGGCACTATGGAGATAAATAGCTGATTGGAGGCCAGATAGACACACTCTTCCTGTGATACATTCCTGTTGACAAGGCACATGGAGCTAAGCTGATGACAGCCAGAGCCCTGGAGCTGGAGGAGCCATGTAAAGACCCACGCCAGCACTGAGATGCTTCTACCACCACTGGATCCCCAAAGTTTCCACCCAGTGGTCTATGATCTTCCTGCATTCGCCGTCCTTGCATGTGTTGCGTGAGTCTGAACAGGAATTTATAGACTCTTATTCAACATATGGGTTAACATCGGACTTATGGACTTGTTCTGGACTGGGCTGGGTGGTTTCCTCAATATCCAATTGATCTTTTATACAAATCTCTTTCTTAGACACGTGAGTCTATGAACTTGTTTCTAGTCGACCCAGACTAACACAATACTTGAGAATGAGAAGTTCCCTTGCTCCTGGACCCAAATCCTCCAGCCACACGTAGGTCAGTCTCTCTAGATCTAAGTTGTGAATTGCTTATGTTTGGCTTATAGTCCATTCTGTGTAAAGTGTGAATTAAGTCACAGACAACATTAGTTCAGAACCCTTAAGTTCGTCTCCAATGTCATAGCTAACTTTACTTTCAAAATTGGAGAAAACATTAGCTTGAATATATACCAGAACAAGTTGTTTTTGTGTATGTAGTGACCATTTTGACTCAAGGTAACTCTTTACTACAGACTAGAACTGGCCTCGTATGGTTCCCCAGACTGTAAACTTTGTGGGCGCAGTTTGTTAGTTTTATTTTGCAAGAGATCAGCTGTTTGGTGGTAACTGCTCACCTTTTAAATAGCATCCATGATCTTGAACATTGAGTCAGAGGGATTGCAAGTCATAACCTACAAATCTAGGAAGAAACCCAGCTTTAAAACGATATTTAATTGACATGTATGAGGATCGAGTGTAAGCAAGTATTTTCTAGTCTCAATCCCATCATCCACTAAATCTGGGCTGAGAAGCATTAACCTCATGTCTGAGCTACAAGAAGGAATGAAGGAAGAGCACGCTTTCTGTGACTTTCCTGAAAATTACTTCATTATTTTCAAGTTTTTGTGTACTTGTCTTGCATTTATATTTATACTTCAGCAAAATGAATCATGTAATAGATTTCAACAGATAAAGAATGGTGTGTCTATCACACTATTAATTATGAAAGTGTTTATTAAGACAAAAGGTGTTCACTTTCTGTAGAAAATATTTGTCCATCCTAGATAGAATATTGCAAAACATTAAATTACTTGTGGTATGTTCTGAGGAAAAATCCAACTTTTGTGATAAAATGTACAATAAATATAAAATGCAGAGAAGAGGCTAAGAAGTAAAGGACACCAAGCTTTAATGTCTTCAGGGCATGTAATAAAAATCCCAGGAGAAGAGGACAAAGACATTGGTCTTAAACAGGATTGGAAGTTATCACACATGTGAAACTCTCTAGGCTGAATAATACCCAAGTCATATAATCAATAGAAGAAATATATCCCAAGCATCTATGTGTATGCTAGGAGAAAAATATAAGATCAGGTTATCTTCATAAAAATCTATCAAGAGTGCTCCAGGCCTGAGAATGTCTCTCCCATTTTGTAAAACTACAGTGGTCACAAAGGACCATGGAACCCATTACCTATATTTCGCAGAGGTATCAAGTCCAGAGGGGAACACCCACATTCAGTTCAGGGACACAGGATATACTATATCATTTCTAAATGAATATTTTTCCATTGGAATATCTAATGGCCATGCTGAACCTTCTTTGATCTGAACAACAGTTAATATAGTTTCTGTCTAACATACTCTCTCTCCTTCACTTAGGATCATACAAGTAGTCTTCCAAAAGTTAGTGGAAAAAAAATCATTATCTTTTCATTACATTTCTCTGTGAACTTTTGATACTCAATTGTCCTTTTTAAAATATATATATATTGACAGTGTGTCTCTCTTCAATGGCCCCTTCAGGATTTTCTCTCACACAAGTGTTTCCACAGGACAATATGCAGAGAATTTTCCCTGATTTGGTTTCTACATATTGAAGGACAGAAATTAACACATGATCTTTAACAGAGTGATTGACAATGTCAACGTGGTTCTATTGGAGATATGAATGATAAAGCATAGAATAAGTTGACCAAGTTCAAAAGAAGAAGGAAAGAAAACAAAAAAGGACAAAGGAGACTTCAGGCCATTGTTGGGTTTGACACATTTCTGCATGAAGGGGAGGGTCAGATGTGAACCACATTATGCTTTTATGTGTTACTGACCATACATTATCCACTCACTTGTCTTTAACTCGAAAGTCAAAGAGTTTCGGAATTAGGGAATTCCACTGCAGTCTTTGCCTTGAGCCTATTATTTCAGACGCAGATCAAACCACAGGTCTTTCCAGAAGGCATCTCCTTGTTGGTTTGAAAAGTCAGTTAGTGTTTAACACTTAAAATTATGGCCCCATTCACTCCATCTGACCCGAGACTGACTGGACAGTTCTGTGGAGGATTCCGGAGGTCCATCAGACCTCTCATTCTGTGATGCCTGAAAGAGAGATTTTCCACACCGTAATGGACTGGTTTTCTGGCTAGTGAATCTATTTTCATGTTGTTCAATACAATTTTTTAATGTATAGATACCAGGGGTGGCACGGAATAGTTCATATAGAGGGATCCCTGGGAAGAGTAAGAGGCTGAGAAGAATCCCCAAACCAAAACAAGAAACCGACCCTGACCCTCCAGCAGCACTGGCTTCGAGGCTGGTTGCTGTGCTCACTTGATGCTGAGCGCCTCCGTCAGCAGCACCGCCCTCTCCCTGCAGGCGAGGTTTGTGCCTGAACTCCCCCTCACTTTCAGCTCATCCTGTCTCGAGAGATGGCCAATCAGCTCTTCGTGGAACATACTTCTCTGTGCCACCATCAGGTTAAATTGTGCAACCCACTGAAAGCCCTGCCCAGGAAACTGACACACCCAGGACCACCAGTTGTTACTGAAAGTGAGTACAGAGCCTGAAGGGGAAATTCCAGAGACCACCAAGGCTTCTCCAAGTCTGCCCTAGATTCTACCAAAGCTGTGTTTATAAACAGGGGGGGAAGATCCCTAAGAAAACTAAAGGAAAGCAGCAAATAAAATAAGAAACAAATTGAGAAATTCAATGACCCACTATTGTTATGTCCATTCAGGCTCATAGTGTCCCTGAAAGAGTGGAAATCATTACGGTTTCCTCTACTGTAAGTCTTTAAGCAAGTAATCAGCTTCATCTGCCTTCCTCAGAGTAGCTTATGTTTGAACCACTCATTCTGCTATCAGTAGATGAGACGAGAAAAGCTAGATCGTGCGGACAGTCACTAAAAAATATCCTGATAAGGGCACAGGCGATGGATCAGTATGGGAGAGACTATATAGCAAAAGCCAGCACCTTTGACTTCTGTGGAGAGTAGCAAGAAACAATAACCATAAAATGGTGAGAATATATAAAATTAATGTCCCTGAGAAATATTTGAGGATAATGTCAAATGGGAATCTAATGTGCCGAGATAACTCCAAAAACAAACTGAAAATGTATCTTTAAAAGAACTAAAGAGAAAAGAGTGAGATGGTGCTCAGGAAATGTGATAAAGGCCCTAAGCAAACAAGAGCAGGATTTTGTTTAGAGTCAAAATTTGAAATTTTGAGAATGCCACTAATGAGGAAACATTTCTTTCAATCTCATCCTAAAGCAAAGACATCCTATATATCGATGTATCTTACTAGAAAATATGAACACGTTTTCATTTATAAACCTGTAACAGCACAATCAAATCTAAGAATGTAATTCCATGCAACATAAGGAGACAAGGCAGAAACATTGCTTCTGAATTCCACCACCTGGTTTGTACACAAGCCAGAGTTCTAAAGGCTAGCCCACGCCAAGTACAAGAACAAAGCACAAACGCTTGTCTATAAGAAAGAAGGTGGCTCTCTCTTTTGTTGCTTCTGAGCTAGATGGCCGCTTGTTTACCTTCAAACCTTTAAGACCCCAGACAGTCAACTGGTTTTCATTGGTTATTATGCACTGCCACAATGTTAAAGTGCCCTATGAGTACTCATAAATTAAAAATGTGAAGTTTTAAGCAGTTCAAATCTGAAGAGAAAACATATTTAATAGGTAAAGGTTGATCATGTTTGATCAATGAAGAATGAAGTTAGCCAAAGAGGTAATTTACTAATGAACAAACCTAGTCTGATAATCGAGATGAACAGAAAAAGCGTCAAGTATTACATTTTCTGATACAGCAAAGACAGAGAACACAGTGGTAGGCTGTGGAACGTAGGTGTGCCCTCATTTGATGTTAACTATTAGCCATTGTCTCTTATTTTCCTTTGGGTTCCCCGTTCTGTTAGCTTAAGTTCTTGCTTGCTACAATTTAAGTGAATGTTTGCCTGTGTGCGTGTCTCTGTCTCTCTCTCTCTGTTGTTTGTGTGTGTGTGTGGGCAAAGATGTTCCTGGGGTTCCCAAGCAGTAGTAATAATGCCTCCTTACAGCAACTTAGACCAATCTACCTAGGGTCTAAACTGCCTTCAGCTGGACTAACCCAAGGATGATTATTCCACTACATGATGTTGATTTACTAATCATGCTGAAGTAATTACAGGTGATTGGGACTTAACGTGTCTCTACCTTCCCTGCTTTATTTCCCAGCTCACTCTCAGGACTCAGGTGAGGCAGATAATTCAAGGAGCTGAAATTGGGGTGGATCTGGATCTCAGATCAGCTATGCTGTGTGGAAAACAGCGGATCACCCGTGCTTGGATGTTTTGGGTGTCCTAAAGGTAAGAGACCCTGGAACCCGGGCAGGGCGACCTATCTTAAGACAGGTACTCTCAACCAGTAGATATGTAAGACAGGCTCAGGGAGGAACATTGCGTTTTGCCTCTGGGTTGAACTCAAAGGTATTAATTCCAGGCCAGCATCAGAGAGCGCTTGGTCTGCTGTTGTTATCATGAGTAACTCTTCGAGGACTTATGTTTTCATTAGTGAAGTGCCCCAGTGTGCTCTGATAGGGAGTTCCTGGCACTGGACACACAGGACGGGCCTGGAATTGACACCGTTCCAGCTTGGGGGTGACGCTAGAGATCCTACTTGCAGTATGTCTTGTGAGCTTAAGCCGTTAGCTCACAGGAATCTCCAAGAGCCGTGGTCCCAAATAGTTTAGGGTTGTCAGCTCTCACTATTAAAGGGGTATGCAAATTCTTCCTCCGAGTCTTTTTTCCTAGGTCTCAGAGATAGGCCAAAGTCAATTTTGAAAAGTGGAGTCCCAGATTCCAGTGTAAGCACCTTTAATTTGCTGCCTCCTCCATCTCTGGTGACATGAGTGTCTCCTGGGAATGAGTGAACAAGGGGGTCGATGACAGAATAACCAGTAATTAATTTGTTTTAATTAACATGGGTTTCACCCTATCCTCCAGGGATAAACCAGGTTAAATAGTGATCTACAAATTAGTGAATAAGTACTATTCAACCCTCAGGCAGCTTACTTATTGGGTAACATCCCTACATGTGTCTAACAGCAGAAAAGACTCCTTGAGACCAGGACACAGTAGATCAGAGGCCAACAAGGGACCTGTGATAGCCCTTAACCATGATGTTGTTTGTCATATTTAAACTTTATATAACACTTCTTTAGTTTTCTAAGTTCCTTGAACCAGATGCAAATGACTTAAAATTAACTGAAAATGTTCTTGTGATTTTTAGTTTTGCCTGCCAACTTACCCAAGTTCCTCTCATTTGTGTGAAATATGAGAGAGAAGATAGCTCCACACACATAATTAGCAACATCAGTTTTTGATGGATTAGGTTTGGGATTCTGTTTAGGCTTGTAGTGTGTTAGAATCAGAGTCTGTACTTAAGATTAGAACCTAAATCCTGGGATTAATCAGTGTTCCAGGTTCAAGAACAATTGCCAAGGAATAGAAATAAGAATTAAGTGTCATGAGTCTGATGTTAGTGGACATATTAAAGGGCTTTATGTTTTGAAGGTTTAATGCCTAACAGATTGTGTTTGGAATTGATTTGGGCCTCATGTGTTAAGGTGTAAGGATGTACAGTTATGGTTTAAAGATTCTTGTTTTCAGGGTTGGATTTCTGAATTTGAGATTTAGGGTCATGAATGAAGTTAGGTTTAAGGTTATAAAATATAGTCAAACCTTTGACCTGATTTTAAGCATTGGGATAAATGCATTCACCTGGGTTAAGAGTGTGTGGTGGTAGGATTTGTTAAGCATGTTGTTAGTTGTGGGTATCAACGGATGCTCAGGGTGTTAGTACTTCGGGGTGGTAAGGGGCCTTTTCATGTACTTAGAGGGTCCGTGCCTTAGGAGGTTATTAGTGTGTTGTAAGGACGGTCAGCATGTTACGGTGTAAGGGTTAATGGTTTCGGAGTTGGAGATGATCAGATAATGGTTAGAGAGTTCTATGCCAAAAGTTATTTTTTGCATGTTGAAATGTAACCTACAACTTTTAAAATATTTATTAGCTGTAGTATTTATGGCATATTTAGAATCTTATGTAAAATATCATTAATTTATGATGATTAGAGGAGTTAGTATTTCTTCTCTTTGGAAGCCTCTTCTTTTAAACAGTATTCCTTTTATGATTGGTCTGTGTAGAAAATACATTAGGATTTTTAATACAGTATTGAAATTGGAAACATATATTTGTCCTGTTTCTTAAGTGGGGTGGGGTATTTGCTCTTCCCTCTAAGAATGAATGATATTTGTTAATATATTTTTTAATAAACATATTAGCATATTGAACTATACCTGTTTCATGTTAGAGTTGCAGATTTTTAACATGAAAAGCCTTTGACTTTTAAAAAATAAATGATTTTATTAGGGGCTCTTACGGCTCTCATAACAATCCACACATCAATTGTATCTAGCACATTTGTATATATGTTGCCATCATCATTTTAAAAATATTTCTTTTCTACTTGAGCCCTTGGTATCAGCTCCTCTTTTGTTCCCTCCCTCCACCACCTTCCCACGCTTGTGACCCTTGATCAATTATAAATTATTACTGTTCTCATATCTTACACCATCTGCTGTCTCTCTTCACCTGCTTTCTGTTGTTCATCCTCCTGGAGTGGGGTGGGGGTGTTATACGATGGTTATTGCAATCAGTTTCCTTCCCCCCACCCCTTCTGGCCCACCTTCCCCCTGGCTTCATGGTATCATCACTCCCATTATTGTTCTAAGGGGTTTATCTCTCCTGGATTCCATGTGCTGTGTCGAGAGCGCTTATCTGTACCAGCGTACATGCTCTGGTGTAGCCGAATTCGTCAAGTAGAACTGGGGTCATGATAGTGGGGTGGAGGAAGCTTTAAAGAACTAAAGGAATGTTGTGTGTTCTGTCGGTGCTATACTGTACCCTTGGTAGCTCATCCTGTCCTTGTGACCCATGTGTCAGGGTATCTCCAATTGTCTTCAGCTAGGCTTTGGGCCTCCAATGTGACACACCTTGTTCCCATCGATATGATCGTTTGTTTTGGGTCTTATGATGCCTGCTACCTGATCCCATGGACACCTCGTGATCACACAGGCTGGTGTGCTTCTTCCATATGGGCTTTGTTGCTTCCCTGCTAGATGGCTGCTTGTTTAACTTCAAGCCTGTAAGACTCCAGACACTGTATCTTCGAATAACTGGGCACCATCAGCTTTCTTCACCACATTTGCTTATGCATCCATTTTGACTTCAGCAATTGTGTTGGGAAGGTGAGCAACACTGAATGCCAGGTTATTAGAATAAAGTGTTCTTGCATTGCGGGAGGGCTTGAGTAGAGACCTAATGCCTTTGACTTTTTAAAATGTGCCTACTTTGTTTTCTGTGTCTACTTAGACAATTGATCCTCTTTTCTGTCAATGGATTTATTAGAGTGCTTCTTATGTAAAATATGCTCTGGGACAACTTTAAACTAATCATGGTATATAATCATTGTAATATGTTGTCTGAATCTGTTCCAAATATTTTAAATAACTGTTTCATTAGCTGACATTGGTGTCAGAGTATTTACTGGTCTGATAGAAAGTATTGGTAACCAAGGGCTGAAGCAGAAAGCAAATGTTTTCAGAATGGTGAGGGCAACAAACGTACAAATGTGCTCGACGCAATGGATGGATGGATGGATTGTGATAAGAGTTGTACGAGCCCCCTAATAAAATGATGAAAGAAAGAAAGGAAAGAAAGAAGTATTGAAGTATTGGTAAGTGTTCTCTCACAACCACTGTTATATTTACACTCAATAACTTGAACTTAAACTACCACACAGTAAAGTGGAGTTTATTTAAACCATCTCAGTACTCGGTATTAAGCTTTAATCTATGGTATAATTATCCTAGAAGTTTTTCCTGGAATTTTATTTTGATTCAATTGATTATAGACCTTGCAAGCAACCTAAAACTCATTTGCCTACCATTGATCCCATGCTCTGGCTCGATCCTCTGATCTTCCAGCTGACCCCTCAGTTTAGAGGACTGCATGATTTACACTCACTCCCCTTGCCAACAAATAGTCACCAACACCTAAGTCATTGTGTGATGCCCTCACAATAGAGCCCCAGTTGGGAAAATACTCTGCCATATGACATGCTGTATGGATCTTAGAAAATGTCTTCAGCTCACCTTCAGAAGAATGGTATAAATCAATGGGGGGCAGCAATTCCCCGGGGATTTTTGCTTCACCTTGGTTTTGCATCACCTTGGTTTTGTTATGTTTTTGAACAAAAGAACCTATTCCTTCTTTTTTTAAGAGAGCTTAAATTCCAGCAAACGTCTCTTGAGGTTTTGAGACGTTGATATCATGGAAATAACGTTTGTAAACATAACTCTCTAGCATTTTGTGCATGCCTTGGGTGTTGATTAGTAATTTCTGAGGCTCCTGTTGTTGATAGTTCTGGTTGAGTCCATTCCATCTCACAGGGACCCTGTGCACAAGGGAATGAAACACTGCCAACCCCTGCAGCATCCTCCCAATTTAGGATAGACCTATTGCTTCAGTCACTGTATCAATGTATCACTGTATCACTGTAGTTGCGGGATTCCTGTTTTTCACTGCCCCTGTACTTTACCAAACAAAATATCCTTCTCCAAGGACTTGTCACGTCTGACAACCTGTCCAAAGTATTTAATACGAATCCCCACTTCCTTACCTCTAACTAGCACCCTGACCTTACTTCTGTCAAGACAGATTTGTTTGTCCATTTGATGGCCCATGCACTACAATTCAAACACATTGATTCTTCTTAATTCCTCTTCCTTCAATGTCCAACTTCTATATGCATATGATGTAATTGGCAATACAATGGTTTAGGTCAGGGGAACTTAGTCTTCAAAGTAACATCTTTGCTTTTCAACACTTTAATGAGGCCATGTTAGGCAGATTTATCCAGTGTAATGCATCTATTGATCTATTGAATTTATTTTCACCTTTTAGTTGTTTTGGAATTTTCCATAAGCTAATAGTTTTTCTAGAAGAAGTTAAAATTTAGTCAAGGCTAGATTAAGAATGTTGATCAAGGAGGGACCTGGAAGCCAACCTTGCTCTGAAACCAACCTGTCTCAGAGCCCTGAGATGGAAGGCTGTCCTTAAGACCTAGAGGAATGATGACGCTTAGATTCCAGAAATGCATGATGACTGGGCATAAGAGAGTATAAAACAAATTGTGCATTTGTCTATTAGCATGACTTTCAGATTACTTTTATAGGGGCCCTAACCCTCACCCCTTATCCTATAACTGTACCCTCACACCCTTCTGCCTTCAGAAACACCCTGAGGGCTGCAAAAGGGCTGTGCCAATGATATCCCACTAGCCACTCAGACTAATGCTTCCCTCCTGTATCGAAGCATAGCCTCTCTCCACCACACTCATTTTGTTCTCCTCCCTCCAAGTTCCTGGTTAAGCATGTTTCACAAGCTCCATCCCAGACACTAGCTTATCCCTTCTTCCTACAAGACCCAGACTATGGATGGGATGTCCTAGAACCCAAGGCAATAAGCCCTCTCCCAGTTTGTGTTGTTTGTCATCTGTCAACATTACTTAGAGAGCTTGAAACCCATGCTCTAGGCCAAGATGACAGAATGGTTGATAAGCCATCTCTTTCCTTAATCCATCTCATGTACTTTTTTTTAAAAGATCATTTTATTGGGGGCTCTTATAACAATCCATACTTCAATTGTATCAAGAATATTTGTAAATTGCCATCATTAATTTCTAAGCCCTTATTTTCAATTGAGACCTTGGTATCAGCTCCTCTTTTTTCCCCTCCTTCCCTCTCCCCCCACCCCCGTGAACCCTTGATAAATATTAAATTATTATTATATTCATATCTTGCACCGATTGCTATCTCACTTCTCCCATGGTTTCTGTTTTTGTCCCCGGGGTTTGTGTGTGTGTGTGTGTGTGTGTAGTTATGTGTCAGTCATTGTGATTGGCTCCCCCTTCCTCCCCTCTCATCCCTGCCTTTCCCCTCCTCTACTGGTATCAATAATCCATTCCTGTTCGTGGATTTCATATTTCGTGGACTCTTATCTCATGTCTGTACCTGTGCCAGTCTAGCCCGCAGGGAAAAGCAGAATTGGACTTATGATAGTGGGTTGTGAGGAAGCCTCAAGGAACCAGAATAATATTTGGGTTTCATCAGTGCTATTCTGTGCCCTGGTTGACTCATCCCTTCAGTGTGACCCTTCTGTAAGGAGATGTCCCATTGTTTGCAGATGGATTTGGGGTCTCTACTACAACCCCCCTCATTCTCAACTATATATATACTTGCTTGTTTGTTTGGGGTCTTCTGAAGCCTGTTACCCTATCTCGTCGACACCTCATGATCACACAGTATGATGTGCTTCTTCCATGTGGGCCCGTTGCTTCTCTACTAGATGGCCACTTTTAAACTTCAAGCCCCCAGGTGGTGGTATATCTTTTGATAGCCAGGCACCATCCTCCTTCTTCACCACATTTGCTTTTGCAACCATTTTGTCTTTAGTGATCATGCTGGTATGGTGAGCATCACAGAATGCCAGGTTGTTAGAACAAAGTGTTCTTGCATTGAGGGAGGGCTTGAGCAGAGTCCTGAAATCCATCTACTATCTCAGTGTATTGCCTTATAAATATATGCATGTAGGTCAAGACCTCTATCTTTAAGAATTAATATATTTACATATGTACAGACCTATGCTTATACCATTTTCCCTAGCTTTGCTTCCTGGATCTTTCCTCTGTTTCCTTTTACCTTCCTCCTTACCCCACCATCATGCTTGCCCTTCTTCCACCTTTTAGTAATTCCTCTCAACTAGATTGCTGTTGCTCCAACTGCTGTCTAAAAGTGGTTATAATCCCAGGCTTGTAGAGACCCTCTGAGAGCTAGTCACAAGACCTCACACCGGATTTCCCCCGTGCTGCAATCCACCTTGTGTCTACAGTCTAGGGCTTTGCAATTCCTCTCCCCAGTCAGGAAAAGAGTGACTACATCAGCCATTACCTTCCCTCATCTCAGGTACTTTTAAGCTTCTTCCCTCATTCACCTTGACTCTTAGCATCATTAATCTACCTAGACCTTGTCATTCCTTGTCTGTAGTGTGCCGTCTCTCACAAAAGCTTTAACATTGGACACCCTTAAACACAAGAGCTGTAGAGAATAGAAAATACACCTCCTTCTGGGCTTGTTTTCTTGTTAAGGTTGTCTCTGCCTCAGCCAAGTCCCCTCTAGGATTCCCTGCTTATTTCCTTTTCTCGCTCGTTGCCCACCTCTACAACAACTTGCACTGGTTACCACCCTCTATTACTATGGGCTTTTAAATGGGCTCCCCCTACCGTACGCATTTGTTCACACACTGTAGATATTATGCATTATCCATGGGATGCAAGGAGCTTGGAGCAGGATAAATTTTGAAGAAAAACTCAGAATGTGTTGGAATGTCACAGTGAGAGAAACATTTACATTGATATCAAGAAATAAAAGTACAGTAATTAGCTGGATGACGTAGTGGGAAAGGAAGAAACATGAACAAGTGTGTAACTACTTAAATTGCATATAAATAATTTCTGAATTTTCCGTTAAACGATCATTAAAATATTGGGGGAATTTTCTTTACAAATCTTCCCAGGTTCTAGAAAGCAAGGGGTTGTTTGTGTTATATTCAGATAATGAAGTAAAAAGATAAAGTAAGAGCGTAGGCATGTCAGGGTCCCTTTCACATGCCACTTGATTCTTAGCGCGTGCCACATCTGCGCGCTTCCCTTCCTTAACCGTCACTCCCTTCGTTAACAGCCGGAAACGCGCACGGCCGGCCGCAGTCATGCCAAAGAATAAAGGTAAAGGAGGTAAAAATAGACGTAGAGGTAAGAATGAGAACGAGTCTGAAAAAAGAGAACTGGTGTTCAAAGAGGATGGGCAAGAATATGCACAGGTCATCAAAATGTTGGGGAATGGACGATTAGAAGCCATGTGTTTTGATGGTGTAAAGAGATTGTGTCACATCAGGGGAAAATTGAGGAAGAAGGTTTGGATAAATACCTCGGACATCATATTGGTTGGTCTACGGGACTATCAGGACAACAAAGCGGATGTCATTCTAAAATACAATGCAGACGAAGCTAGAAGTCTGAGGGCCTATGGCGAGCTTCCAGAGCATGCTAAAATCAATGAAACGGATACCTTTGGCCCTGGAGATGATGATGAAATCCAGTTTGACGACATCGGAGATGATGAGGAGGACATTGATGATATCTAAGTCGAACCCGACGCTTTATTCCATTAGACCTGAGGATCGTCCTACAATTTGGACTTGGGGCTCTCCCATTGTAGAAGATTAAAATTTCATCAGCATGAGTACTATTTATTCGAGCAGCTTGGTTTGTTTTTAAGGTACTGGTGTTTCCTTTAAAACTGAGAATGTTGAAAAATCTTAAGTAAAATGTTTAGGGCCACTTTGTTCATTTGAAGTAATAGAATTTCTGGATAAAAGACCATAAAAGCGCTTACTTAAAAAAATATTTTTTTTTCTTTTTTTTTAAACATTTTATTAGGGGCTCATACAACTGTTATCCCAATCCATACACACATCAATTGTGTAAAGCGTATTTGTACATCATTTCTCAAAACATTTTCTCTCCATTTAAACCCCCGACATTAGGTCCTCATTTTTCCCCTCCCTCCCCGCTCCCCTCCCCTTTTTGACCACTTCACTTCCAGGAACTAGATATTCAAGTTAATTACTTGCCCTCTACTTATTAAGGGTTTTGACAGGTCTATTGACTATACAAAGTCTTTCTGTCTGCTCCAGATGCCTATTCGTCCCTGGAGATTTTGATACTGTTTTAAGAGAGGCAGAAATCAGCATATAAAGTCAAAATAAGTAGTTCTGTTGTTTCAGATTTGAATAGCATATGGCATTTTTATACAGATTTTGATATCACATAGTTCAGTTTGTGACCTTGTGTTGTTACCATTAAGACATAATGAAAAAGCATTTCCAAAATGCACTTTTCAAAACTTCAGTTTAAGTGGCAATTTTTATTTTCTAAAGCTAGCAGTTACAGAAATTGGACGCTAGGTGGCACCAAATTATTTTAACACTGGAAATACTGAGTGATTTTGACATGGTTTTTTTTTTTTAAGTCACGTGCATAGGAAATTTCCCAAATGGATATGTTCTATTGTGATGCATGAATATAGAATGTTTTTACAGACAAAACACTGATGCTAAATGCATTGTTTTATTTTCAAAAGTTATACATCATAAGCTATAAATTGGAGTACTTTATAAACAATTGAGTTGTATATAAATGAAAATCTAATTTCATCGCAATTTATACAAATTTAGCCTTCTTCACACTATCCCTAAACTAGTTAAGGAGAATGGAATAATTGCAGTTTAATAAATGGAAAAAGAAAAGTCCAATTTTTAAATGGAAAGGCTACAGCTAAGGAATAAAATAATCAAGTTGAAGAGTATATTATATACTTTACATTAAGGGTTATGTATTTGATTCTGTGGACATTTGTGGCGGAGTTAAGTTTACCCCTTTTTAGAAATGGTCTCAGCTCTGGTACAGTGAAGAGCAAGGCTAGACTAGTTAGATCTCAATGACCACATTTGAGTTTCATCCAACTTTTGAAGGAGAGATCAGTAATGAATTGGTCTCCAGAGAACTTTTCAATGTTGAGAAATAATTAAGGAGAATATAAAGGGGTATAAACTTCCCTTCACAAGGCTTCAGAAAAACTAATGTATCTTCCCCAATCCTTCTCTGCTATAATTCCCTTTTCTGAAAAATCTGAGGCCAGAAATATGTATTAAGAATTGAAAAATAGGAATATCTACACAAAAAATACGGTGTTTCTTACTTTATGGAGTTCGTAGACTTATAAGACAGAATGCCTTTGATATTTGTACGATGGCACGTAACGACAACAACACAAAAGTTCTAAGTTGGGTTTATAGTACATGCCTTTCCGCATTCGTAAGAACATGTGCTTCTGTACCTAGGTTAGAGGTTGTGGGAAGGAGAGTGCAACTTACACATTCTTTGTTTTACTTAACCCTCCTCTAACAAATACGGTGTGTCTGAAGAGTAATAATTTCACCCCATGGTCCCAATTCATGGATGTATTTCCTTACTTAGTAGTTATAGCTCAACCAGTTGCCACGTGGAAAATCTCGAGTCTTGGTGGTTAATCACAACGGGGACCCAGTTGTAGCTTCTGCGCAACACACTTGGAGTTATTTTAGGAACGTCTTTCATGTGGAAATTGTCATATCATTGGCTTGATTATATTTCAAATAAGGAATGGAAGTGGTCTTCGAGGTAAGTTAGCTTTTTAAGAAAAGACATTCTTTGATTCCAGTAATATAGTGACATAACTGTGTCCAGAAAGAAAAGCAAGAAATTGAACAATAACATTCATGGAGTGTCTATTTCTACTTCCCATTAGATTATAAATATATTGTATTACGAAAGTGGCTAAATAACCAAACTAATTCAGCATTTGTGTATAACGACTTGCCAACTTTAAATTGTTTGTTGAATCTTTTTGTGAACATCCAGCTTTTAAAGAGACCTGTAAATTATGCATGCAAAAACTGGTGTTTTGTTAAGGCATGGCCGTTGGCTTTCCTCACCACATCTGTGGAAACACGGCTATAAATTTATTTGCTTACAAGAAAAAAGATAAAATAAAACATAAATGGAAAGAAATAATTCTAAAGGGGCAACCAATAACAAGGATCTACGTATAACCTTCTCCCTGGGGGATGAATAACAGAAACGTGGGTGAAGGCAGATGTTGGACAGTGTAAGATATGACAAAATAATAATTTATAAATTATCAAGAGTTCATTAGGGAGGGGGCAGCGGGGAGGGGGGGATAAATGAAGAGCTGATGCCGAGGGCTCAAGCAGAAAGCAAATGTTTTGAGAATGATGATGGCAACAAACGTACAAATGTGCATGAGACAATGGATGGATGTATGGATTGTGATAAGAGTTGTATGAGCCCCCAATAAAATGGTTTTAAGAAAGAGACATAATTGTTACTGGAAACAGTGCACAGGAAATAACAACAAAACCATTGATCACATATCATACTCTTCTAAATTATTTTTAAGTGCAATACTAGTGTTTTAATGGCACAAAAACAATGGACACAATGAGTTCATTGACTTGAACTGAAATCATATGTTGTGCCTGAAAACTCACCTAGGGTGATACATCAAATTCATGTGTGTGGTTTAATGCTCTAGTCAACCTTTAACAATATAGATCAATCCTCAACCTAAGCATTAACTCCCAAGTCTGTACAGCACTTCAGATTCACAGCTTTCATTGTGGGAAGCCCTGGAATCCATTCATCCTCTGCGTTGAAGGCATATTTCCTCTCTGACATGAATGTCAGCTAAGGGGAGCTGAAGAAAAGAGGAGTGTGCCCTAAATTTAGAGTGGGTCCTACATTTAATGCAAACACTCTCAGATTGGAGCCTGGTTTTGAGGCCACGAGGCACCACGTAGGGAAAGAAATGCAGGCCAAGAAACTGACCTGCCTTACTCGGCATTATCTACTACTATGAGCAGGTCACAGATTTGCCAGAGAGAAATACCGTCCAGTTGAGGGAGCTAACAACCCTGGCATACTATCTTTCACATTTATCCACCAGAAGGAAAGATTTCAACATTTGGCTGTTGTGTAAACCAAATTCATTCACCAGACTCCACCCTTCTTAGACTTCTGCTTCTTGTATTTAGAGAATGCTTTTATTTGACTTCAAGAAGTTTGCGCTACAAAATGGTGAGTATTAAAGAGCCCTAGGATATTTTCATTATACAGATAAAGGTTAGATAGGACTTGTTGAGAACACTGTGTCCAATACCTGAGGGTTTTCTCTGAAGTAAGAGCATGACAGGGGAGGGGAATGAAGACGGGGCTTTATAAAGCTTCATGATAGCTATTGCTATCAAATATATATATGGTATACTATCAACTATATATATGGTATACTATCAACTATATATATGGTATAATGCAATGGATTACTGTGATGATCTTCCTTATGTGACTTGGGGCTGGTTATGTAAGGTGTCAACATCCCAGGTTGGGACTTGGTTCGTAGGGATGGGCAACAGAACTTCCTGAGTAGAGTCTGGATGTTAAGCTCTACCAGCAGACATGGATTATCAGGTTGTCTAGTGTCACCATTTCTCCATCCCTACAGTTTTCTTTATTCCCTTCATGCAGGGAAACATTTTCTATAGATTTATAAAAATGGAAGATTGAGCTCTTTCACGATTTAGAAATTTCATCCTGTCATGGCTTCACTAAAAGAATGAATCTGATGACAATGTATCCAGTTGGTCACTATGTGGGGATTATTTTTATTGATGGTGATACTTGGGCTGGTAGAAGCACTCCTCACTCATAATGACACTTTGCACAGCAGAAGGAAATCCTGCCCAGTCTTTCACTATCTCCACAATGCCTGTCATAATGAGCCCCCTTAGTGTTAAAATACACCCTATTGTTAAAATGCAGCCATTGAAGATAGTTCTATTTTTTGTTAAAGTTAAAATCATGTCCTTTTCTCTGGACTATTCCATTCCTGTAATATGTCCCATGCGGAGGGAATGATACGTCAACATCTTTGCTTTTTAGTAACATTTTTCCCGAACTTCTTCTAAGAGACAAAAAACAAAAAATACAAACTCACTGCGAGAGAGAGGACTGAAACTCATAACCGCCTAAAAGGAGAGGGTAGAGCTGTCTCCGTGGGTGTCTTACACTGGAACTACGTGTGGGAATAGAAAGCCTGAGTTTTCTCCAGAGAAGTGCCTGGAAGTTTCAAACGACTGACCGAGCAGTTAGCAGCCAAATGTTTACTAGTGCTCCTTCTTCCAAGATAGATTCCTTTATTCTTCTTCCTGTCTGTGGTGTATTTAATATTCTGCACATATAACAAAAAATTAAAAGAAAATATATAGTTTTACTTATTGTCCACTTTAAAAAAAAATGGATATGTTGTCATGAATATACCATGGTCTGGCTTGAGCCACGCTCCCCTTAGACCCAAAGTGACATTGTTGATTTCAACATTTTAAGTGGGTCCTTTGCAGGAAATTTCTCCAATAAAATGTGTTTTGACAGTTTTTGCCAAGGATTATGGATCCAAATAAAATAAAAACCTTTTTTTAAAAAAAATATTTTATTGGGGGACGTCAGACAGGGCAAGATATGACAAAATAATTTATAAATTATCAAGGGCTCATGAGGGAGGGGGGAGCGGGGAGGGAGGGGAAAAATGAGGACCTAATGCGGGGGGCTTAAGTGGAGAGGAAACGTTTTGAGAATGATGAGGGCATTGAATGTACAAATGTGCT